AACCGCTAAGGCTGTAACTGTTCTATTATCTATAAACACGTTGATATATTACCTTGATTTTAGGTTTATACATTTTTTTGATATTGGGTCTGTTTAGTGGTGTTACTTGAACCACAGTTCTCAAAAGGAAGCAAGCAGCGACGCACGGCGCCGGGCACCTTTTCCCGTATTCCTTTTTCCTTTCCAAGAAACGACCTTTGCATGCACGACAATATTTTAATATGCAAAATTTCAAATACAACACACACACACACACATGCCGAGGCAGGACTTGGCCATAAGCACACACACACTCACACACACATACACTTTGGCGACTGATGCTTTTTGGTCAGGACGACAGACGGCGGAGGTCCATTGAAAAGGGATGGAAATGGGGGAGTGGCTGTGGGAAGGAGAAGGAGAGGGGAGAGGGGGAAGGGGAAAGGGGAGAAAGCGGACGGTAGCCCGAGTATCCAATTCAAAAATTTCGCAAACCAACCGGGCGGAATCAGCAAGGACGACAGAACGCCACACGGACTGTTCGTCCTGTTTCGCTCTTTTATTTTTTTTCATTTCCTTTTCCGCTGGTCGGCGTCCACCGAAGCGCATCATCAACAAGGAGCACACACCCACACACACACGCACACATGTGAGGGGGCCAGAAAAGGACCTCACAAGATGGCACACACTAAAAAAAATATATGCTATATTTCTGTTGAGTTTCATGTATTTAGATTGTGTCTATTTTGAAGAGGTACTTTTCCGTTTTTATCTGCGCTTTTTGGCTGGTTAATTTTTTGTGAATAGTTTTTAAATTAATAAGTAAATTTTTGAAAGCTTTGATGTTTATTTTTGTCAGTGCAACACCTTTTCCTCCCATTTGCAAGTGGCGGAGACCCGTTTCGATTCGCTGGCTTGGTGGCATATTGCGCTGACACAGGAGCTTCTCTATTTGCTCGTTGGGCCGCCTTGCCTCTTGACCAGTTATCCTTTCGAGGACCCCTCTCCCCCTCAGAACCCCCTTTCGGCCTTCCCCATTCCCCGCACCCGGCCATGTGTCAGGCAGTCAATCAGAGGTCCTGCAGATCCTGATTTACGCAGGTGGCCTGCCACGGGCATTGTTGTTCCTGGTCCTGTGGCCAGGACATTTGATGTGGGACCCAGAAGCCATTACCCATATCCCATATCCCACATCCCACATCCCAGATCCCAGGACCCATGTGTATCACGTAGTGGCAAATGTGTGTGTGCTCGCGCTCTCTATGTAACCACCTTTATTTACATAGGCACCGGTCCGTGGTGGATGGAAATCCGACGTTTTTCTTTCTTTTTTTGCGTGCCAGCCATAATGTGTTTGCCTGGACAAATATTTTGCGCAGTCTGTGGCTTAAGTTGGTCAATGGAGTGGAGCTAAACAACTCCGAATGCGATGAACCAACACGACGACGACACATCTGCGAGTGAATATTTTTAAGGGCAATGCCAAATATGAGAAATATAATTGTAACAAAAAGAGGGAACATTTTTTGGCTTAAAGATACAATTTTAAGTAAAGGAAATCATATCCAAATATAGTCTGTATATTGTTTGAAATGATGTCCTTTAATTGCGAATCGATTTGGCATGGTTTTCTGCGGAGATAGGCGCTGCTTTTAAGGATGTGGAATTCGAATCCCCTTTGGGGTGACGGTGGGACAACAAAGGCTCCGAGGGAAATCGCCAACTTGCATTTGTCGCCTCGCAGGGGCAGAAATAAAAGGATGTTCGGAATGGGATGGCCAAGAAAAAAGGAGCAGGAGGAGGAGCAGGAGGAGGAGAAGGAGGAGCTGAAGAAGGAGCAGGAGAAGAACAGGAGCTGTCGGTCTGCCAAGGCTCTTGTCGCAGGACTCGCGGTGCCGTCGTTTCCGAATGATATGATGCGTGCCTCATGTGTATCGGTATATACATATTTAATACACATACCTACCTACATACGTTATATACAAACAAACAAACATATAGTATATTCATGTGTGATGTTCAGGTTGTTTTTTGGAGCGTGTGGCCGTGTTGTTGTTTTGACAACAGGCGAGACAAAAGGAGCAGGACACCAAGGACCTGCGACCGTGGAGCGTGGCAAGTGGGAAGCGGGAAGTGGTTCGCGGGGAGCTGGGAATATTTAACAGGAAGAAACCAATAAAACCTAATGATATGAAAAAATGCAATTTTCTGAAACTTGAACGAACGCGAACGCGAACGCAAACGCTCACAAATACACGCGGAGCGAAAGGGGAGCGGAAATACACATACTACAATAATGGGGCAGTGTGCGTCCTGTCGCGCCTCAAGTCCCGTTTACACTACCGTTAAGACTACGAAAAAATACTGAAATTAGAAAAAATAGTACTTTATACATCGCATTTTCAAATCCATAGTTCAAATTGAATTGAATTTTGGATTGAATTTTAATTAGAAAATCTAATGGAAAAGAAAACCCCTAATCAGAAATGAATCAAGTCTTGTTCTATTACTTTTTTTTTATTTCATATTTTTAATACTAGCTAGTTCTTAAATTTTTGTTTCCTAATTTTGGTATATTTGAGTTTATTTTCAAATACAACTCTTCCCGTATAAACAGTGCTTAACTTTGATTTTCCGCTTCGAAAATCACAAACATTCAGAGCAGCGGCGTGTGTCTTCGGCCTCGTCCTTCGTCCTTCGTACTTCCACCTCCTTTGGCCGCCTGGCCACCTCCTTTTACCGCATTTTTTTTTTTTTTTTGAGGGAGCTCCTTCTCCGATTGTCCCCTGTTGTCATATGTGAAGTTCGCTTCGCGCTTGTGGATTTTATATTACCGACAAGAAGCAAAAAAAAATTGAAACGCGAACTTGGCTTCAAAAGGAATTTTTTTACGGGGGGCAGGAGGTCTTGCGAAGTGATAGACAACGGATGAAACATAAACATGGCACCCGACACTTGTCCACTGGCCTGGCAAAATGGATCGGGAAACCCCCGGAAAAGCATCCACCCTCCCCCCAAAACCCGGAATCATACATAAATGACAATGTATTACCGCTAAACGAAGGCGGGCAGCGGCCAGAAGATAGCTGACATGTAAGCAATTTTCCAAAGTTCTTAGTCAGCAACTTTTACCCCTTTTCTCCTTTTCTCCTTTCTCCGCCCTTTGACCTCTCCGGGGTGACCACACACACACATGCAAAAGGAAAAATCGAGCGAGAGAGAGAAAGAAAAAGGGGGAGAGAGTTAAAGGCACCCACGCATGGCTCGCTGGAGATACCAGGGGTTATGTTATGTCCTGTCACTGGCTACAAGGATACCGATAAGCCAGCCACACCCACACCCACACCCACTCCACCCCCCACCCCTGTCCCTCTCCCACATCCCCTTGATGGTCCACGCAGGCAGCCTGCAGAAAAACATTTTTCGCCAGCGGTTCGCATTTATTTATTTCCATTTTTATACCCTTGCAGAGCAAAGGGTATTATAATTTCAGTCAGAAGTTTGCAACGCAGTGAAGGAGACACCTCAGACCCCATAAAGTATATATATTCTTGATCAGCATCACCATCTGAATCGAAATATGTATGTACGTCTGTCCGTCTGTCCGTCTGTCTGTCTGTCCGTCTGTCCGTCTGTCCTCCTGTCGGTTTCTATGTAAACTAGTCTCTCAGTTTTAAAGCTATCGTGTTGAAACTTTTCCAAAAGTTGTGTAGCTATTGCACGCAGTATATAAGTCGGAACGAGCCGGATCGGCCGACTACATCGGATAGCTCCCATACAAGAGGTCAAAAAAATAAAGGATAAAAAATTATTACGCCGTTGTTTTTGATCAGATCGACTTGAATTCTTTAATATGGCGTTTTCTATCGGTTATTAAATTTCGGATTAAATTTTATCAAAATCGGATAACCCTATCATATAGCTGCCATAGGAAAGATCAAAAAATATATATAGAAATAATGGCAAAATAATCATAACGTTGTTGTTTTTTATTCCACGAGCAAGATTTTTACAACATCGACTTTATGAACTACCCTTGAACCTAGAAAAAAATTTCATAAAAATCGGACAACTATATCATATAGCTGCCATATGAAGAACAGTCGAAAATATGGAAAATTAATAGAAAAGTCGTCATAGCTTCGAGGTTGTTAGCCTTTATGTATTTTGTTCGATTTGTTTGATGACTGCAAGGGTATATAAGCTTCGGCTTGCCGAAGCTAGCTTCCTTTCTTGTTTTAACACATATTAAGCCGCAAAAATATTGCCTGTCCTTTCCACTTCCTATTTTTTTTTTGGGTGGTGGTCCAGAATTTGCAAAAGACGCAAAAAGTGCTAGAAAGAGAGGCGCTGAGGGAGCTAGCGAAACAGGGCTAAATAGCTACAGTTAGAAAAAATTAAATTTTTTTTAAGTTCACTTTACAGCTGGAAAATAGTTATTGTCACAAGGTAGTAATAAACTTAATTGGTTACAAAACAAGTGTCACTTCTTCACTCTTCCCTTTAAAATATTTTATTGTAGAACCCCTTCGAATGTAACCCGAGTTGAAGCACTTTTCTCTCCGTGTAAAAAGAGGAATGGGGAAATTTTAGCTGGTCGTCTAATTCAGTCGATAGCCATTCATTGGAAACTCTTGATTGATGCTTTGGCCTTGTCTGCTGCTCGTTGATAAGCGGCAAAGACTATGCGACTCTTAACCCCACACAGCCCCTGTCCACCGGGCCAACCACCCAACCACCCAGCCACCCAACCACCCACTCCTTCGCAAGAAATGTAACCAGGCTGATTTTTACAATTGCTTGCGATTCAATTTTTCACTTTACATATTTCATGGATTAGACGACTTCAACGGTGGGTTCTCGCTAACGGGGATGGAGCGGATGTTGTTGTTGTTGCGATGGATAAATGGAATTGGGTTTGGGTTTGCCAAGGGTAAACCAGTGGCTTTAGCAACGGTTTCCGTTTTTCATGGTTTCCACCTTGTTTTCCCGTATTTAAAATAAGTAAACAATGCGAGTTTTTAAAATTGAAAAATTGCAAGCCTTTTCTTATACTATATTTTTTTTTAGATGCCACTCATTAGATCGATTTAAACGCTCAAAGCTCCACAACATTTATAAATTTAACTAGATTCCAAAGTACCACATTTTGAATCCATCCCTTGGCTCCGACCAGCTGCAACTCTTGAGTGGTTCGTCCTGTAAGTATGTCCGTTTACTCTTTGGAAGCTTCGCTGTGCCCAAAAATAAAGAAACTCGCGGAGGAGGCCACTGCAATTGTGCCAATTGGAGCCCAAGACTCAGGACTCAAGACTCCGATTGCCAGGACTTGAACAATTTATACAAAAATAGAGAATGCTAATGGTCCGAGTGCTGGTGATGTTTGCGGCGTCGCGAGTCCTCGATCTTCTTGAGATATTGGGCGGCCAGCGTGAGGATGGACGGCTGCTCCACATCCGAAAAGTCGACCTCGTCGTCCTCCTCCTCCAGGTTCTTGCGATCCGAGGTGAGCGTGAATGTCGGCGATGGCTGCAGAGGGGGGGTTTTGCTCGAGGGGGAGCTCCTCGCCGGATTCTCCCGATGGATGGGCATCACGGTGATCTTCTGGACCCTCGAACGCGTTCTCTTCGCCAGCAGATCATCCGAAGCGGTGGAGGGGTGCTCCTGCATTTGATTGCTCCTCTTCGAGTGACGCTGGCGCCTCGGGGTTCGATGAGTCGTCACCTGCTCAATTGGCATGGCTGCCACCTTGGAATCCCTTTCCCTCTCCCTTTTCTCCAGCCTCCTTGCCTCTGGGATGCCACACCTGCCCCCCGCCACCCGCCGCTTGGTGCCCTGCTGCTCCAGCGCCTGGGACACCTTGTCCTCGATCACGGCACTCAGACTGGAGCTGAGCTGCTGCAGCTTCTCGTCCACCGCCTCGTTGACCGCCGTCCGAATCGAGGTGTATATCTCCTCCATGTACTTCGATCGCGCGTTCTCCGACTGCGATCGACGCCGCAGCCTCTCCAAAACGTCCTCGGTGATCAGCGCGAATCGCAGCTTGGTTGCCTTGGCCATAGCGTATAGAAATGATATGAAAAGATCAAAAAGAAACTGATAATTTTGCCTTTAACTTTTGTCTCCAAATTTTGGCTGTTTGCTGAGAATAATTCTGTAGAGAATATGTTACTAAACTTCTCCGCTGATTTTTTAGTCCTAACCAACTTAAACTGACAGAAGGCACTGGCTAACTTCATGGACTACTGTTCGGTTTACTTGCTGGGTCTTTTATTCGCTCCGATTTGGGTTTGGAGTAGGCCTTGAGTGGTTTATTGTTCGGCTTCTTTTATTCGTTTGCCATGTTGACATGTGACAGGTCGTCGTACTTATTGTTCGAGGCGAAAAACAAAGGACGAGTGATTTCAATTAGGAGAGTTGAATAAGTCAGAGTTTCTGACCGTGCGACATTTCCACTTCCTCCTCGACTGCTTTTATTTTTTATTTTCGCCGAGTCCTTGCGCTGACATTTCAGCCCCTTTGCACTTCCTTTTGCGGGCACTTCAGGAACTCAGGAAGCGGATCTTGGCAGTGGTATCCTTTAACCCGCGGCTGCCAGATGTCAGGCCGGATTGAAAAATGATAATTTCTGGCGCCCGTTACCTGGCCGGGATTAAGGCGACTTACCCGAAAGGGTTACGCGATCCGAGCGATCGAGCGAAGATGTCCCAATAGCTAAACGTCCCGTTCCCGCGTTCTCAGGTAAAAAAACAGAACTCCTTTGCCTGCAGAACTCGCGGTTCCGGAGGGTTGAGCTTCGGCCAACCCCTTTTTGGGGGTAGGGAGTGCCTATTTAACCCTCGCCAACCCAAACCCAAATCCAAAAACTGGAAAGCAGGAAAACTAGGATGCGCGCGATAGGCAAATCCAAATCGGCGAGTCATCCAGAGGCATTCTCATTCACATGCCGATCGACGGCCGTCAAGATCGCACGGTCGCGTTATCGCCCGAATAACACTCTGCAATTACCGCTCGACACTCCACTCAGCCATTCGTCGCTATCGCTGCTCCTCGATCGGATTTGCGCTTTTCGCCTTTCGAAGTCCCCGATCGGACCGACCGATCCAGACCCAGTCAAGTGGTCCGCCGGAGTGCCATCAATTAGCCAATTCGCATTGTTCCCCGATCCCTGATTCTTCTTCGATAGAGATCGCAGATATGACCATTGGAAGATCTGAAGAGCTTTGCGGGTTAACCATTTGCCAGTTTTAATACTCGTAGTAAATTACAATAGGAATAGAGTGATATTATGTTGGGTGTCCGGAGAGGTACTCCTTAAATCAGAATGATATCGAGATGTTTCGAATGTGATTTAGTAATTAAACAAATTTAATCTATTTTTTTGATTCTCACAGAATTATCATAACAAAATGCAGTGTTTGGTAATAGGTTAACCATTAACATGACAGGTTTTACCAGCATTTGTTACATTAAATAAAATTTCAGTTTTGTATTTTATTAATGTTTTCAAGGAACTTTAACAACAACCTCTGAAGACTTATTAAAACTTCTTCCTCTTCGTTGATGTCCAATGACCAAGGCGAGTTCGCAGCTTTAATTTTGCCTGGTTATGGACAATTTATAGACTTCCAATGGCAAAAATTAGCCATTTAGCTGAAGGGGTGAGTGGGCAGAACAGCCCCCAATCTCGATTTAAAGAGGGGTCCACTCCACTCGATTGTCTTCGCTCCCCCTTTTCTGTGTGATTTTCCATGTCGTCCTGTTTGATATCGCAGCGCGGCATTTATAAATGTAATTGTACGAATGCCATGCCGTTGTGAGGCGGAGTGGTCGGTTGGGTGGTGGGGTGGTGGGAGTGGAAATGGAAATGGGAAGGGGCTGTCCCGTTCCAAGGACACCGGCTCATAGGGTTGAATGGCAAATGGCCGCTCCAGGTCCGTTCGCTCGATGTCCGGGGAGTCCAGGAGTTGCGTCGGGCTTTTTTGGTTTTGGCTTGGCTGCTAGCCACCATTAGGGGTGGACTTTTCGATTACATTCGAAGACGAAACGCAGAACGTAAAACGCAGGACGTTCAGGACCTGTCCACGGTGGCCGGCCAAGCGGAGCGAGCGGGACGGCAGACAAGGTGAAATATGTGCGATTTCAATCCACGAACAACTACCAAACTGGCAGCCACTTCAGCTCCGTGGGCCGTCCATCACCGGGCCACCGACACCAACACTAATGCAAGCCCAGCAGACCAGCCCGCACGATGTCCTTCGAGGGGGAGGAGTGGGTGGTCGACAACAGGGAAAGTGGCAGAGAGTGAAAGAGAGAGAGAGAGAAGGCGAGTGAGTCCAGTTTAGGCAGTGAAAGAAATACATTCAAATCTATCTGCTGAATATCTATTTAAGTTTTATTTTATTTCCCTTCTGAACAATCAAAATATAAAGAAATCTACAAAATAAAATTCCCCTTAAAAATAATAGAATATTTTATTAAAAAATATAATATTTAAATAGAGTAAATATGTATAGTAATGTAAAGCTTTCGACTATTATTAATCCCATTTTCTTGCTGTGTAAATTTGGTTTTGCGTTTTAGCGCTCCAACAAAAGGGTCAATAAGGGGGGCTTTTACGACTGTAACTGCCCCCTCCTGGCCACCCCCTTCCACCCCCTCCACCCCTTTCGGAACACACCCGCCCCCGGGTGTGCGTTCGCATTCAACCCCCTCAGCAGATTGACTTTTATGTTGATAACTCCGATGTCGTTCCGTTCTGTTCCTACTGTTCCTCTCGACCACCTCCTCCTGCCCCTGCCTCCACCCCCTTCTTAATTTAGCAACCCCCGCCCCTGCTTTTGTTTGTGTGTGTTGTACAAGTTGTCCACTACAAACGAGAAGAGAACTCGCCGTTGGCTTCCAACTCACCCCTCAAGTGGCCATTTTGAATTCTGTCCGTTTCCCTTGGCGTTCACTTTGGACATGGCCAACTCCCCGTCGACCCTCTCCCCGTGGCACTGCGAAATCCCCCACTTATCCTGCCCGGGATCCTCCTTTCCCCAGTTGCCACTTCATCGATTGAGGTAAATTCGGGGGCGACTTTAAGCCCGCTTAGTCAGCTGACCATCTTCGAGATTATACAATACAGAGAAAGTTTGTTAATTCAGGGTTATAATAATTGTTTTCTTAGAAATATATTTAATTACAAAATATATTTCTCTTAAGTAGTAAAATCCCAAATAAATCAATACTTGGGCAAATTAGTTCCCCCTGCATAAATTTCAAAATAGAATAGTTTGAAAGGATGGAAACCTTTACCCCGAAGAGCTGCTCCATCTGGTCACTTATTAACCCCGTATTCCGTATTCTTCGCCGCCATTTAAGTCGCTTGTCAGGTGTGGGTGGCAAATCCGTAAATTAGTTGCCCCCCACCTTCCCCAATCGCTATAATAATACGGGTCTAAGCCGGCACTCTCCACCGCACATACGTCTCTATTCGGTCCGGTTTTCGAGTCCGTACTCCGGACGGCGGACGGCGGACTTTGGTTCAATCCCCTTGACTTGACGATGTTTTTATGATGCCCAAGACAGGAGCTCGTGCTCGGTGTTCGCCTGGCCGTATTAAGACAAAAGGTTAAATTTAAATTTGAAATGATGAAGGGGTTGCTTTTCGGAGGGGGCGGCGGATTTTCCGAAGCAGGGTTCTTCTTCGGGTTCTTCGAGCATCACGTCCACATTCGCTGGCTGCGTGCTCCAAGCGCCCTGGCCATACATTGCAATATGGCTGCCCCTTTGGCTTGCCACCCCCCTTTTCCCCCTCCATTTAGCCACCCATGACCCCTGACCCCCGCCGTACCCCTTAACCTCCAAATGCGAAGCTGCCGAGCATATTGTTGCCTCGGAATTGGATTGTTGGGTTAGGTGTAAGGTGTGGCAGATGGTGTGGATTTTCCTCTGACCGTGTGTGTCTGTGTGTGTGTGTGTTCTGGCCAAAAGCGAAGGCAACCCGACGACCTTTGTCTCCCCCTCCGCCCCCCGCAGCTTGGAGCCCTCTTTTCCGTCCGAAAAACCATCTGTGTGGGTGGTAAGTTGCTGAGTGGTTCGATGGCAAAAAGGAGCGAAAGAAACTTCCAGCCAAAGGCTTCAGACGTGGCCAGGATAACGCGGAGGGTTAAGGCGGTTGGGGGTTAAGGGGGGGACGGCTGCAGGACGCCATAGGCGTGCCCATCGTGGGGTTAAAGAGGGATTCCGTGTGTAATAGTTATGATATGGTTTTCGCTATTTATTATTAATTTATATTTAATATTTCTTGTTTTGAAAGATGTTTGAGATTTTTCATTCTTTTGAATGTGGAGTTAGCACACTAAATAAGAATTTTATTTGATCCCCAATGAAGAAGGACGCACTACGCCCCTGTAAACTGGGTATAGGTGGATTCGGCGTATGCTAATGGACATTCGAGATTTTGGTTTTGGGTATTTTGAGCAGTTCAGCTCCTGTTTAGTCGGTCTTCGGCCGAGCTCGGGGAAAAGCCGATAAGTACGCTTTATGCCCTTAGAATGCTACGTGTGCGAGTTGTGAGCTGCGAGAAGAGGGCGGGAATATCCGAGGGGGTTACGACTGGACTGGGCTCATGATACTCATTTTGTGATTGTGTGATGATGGATGGGACATGTGCTGGTGGGCGGGGAGGCTCTTCCCCAAGCTTTTGCTGCTGCTTCTGCTTTTGCTGTTGCTGTGGCCCAGAATGCCGATGGCTGAATGGATGGTTGGGCTGGCCGAAAAAGGACGTGGAGGCCAAGGGCCAGTTGCATTTGTCCTTGTGCTATTGAGCGTGAGCTAACTCTCCTGCTCGCTGGAGTGTGCCGGAAAAAGGATTCGAACGATTTAGCATTCGGAATAAGTTGTCCCGGATCTCGGGCTCCGGATCCCCGTATCCCCGGATCCTTTGGCATCTGTTTGTTTGCATTCCACTCACCTGATACCGCACAATCCCCCGCTCCACTTTTTTTTGGGTGGGGGGAGGTCGGCCATTAGATCCATGAAATATGCATGCTGGATAAACATAATTCGGGGCATGCGAGTAAATACTTTTGTCAAGATTTGACCATGATTGAGTGCGACTTTGGGTCCTTCAGGTCCTGCGCAGAGGTTAACTAGCCATAATTTATACGCTCGATTGGATTTCGCATTTGTATCCCGATTGTTTGGGTCCACTATTTGGGTGTCTGGAGTGAATTATTGTTTGGGCTTGGGTTTGGGCTCAGCAAATATGTGTGGTCAGCAATTCGATTAGATTGTTAACTGATAACCTCTTGTCGAGAATATTTAATTTGAATTAAATGTAGCAATTGTAATGCTTACAGTTCGATTATAATATTGTAAGCGTATTTTATAGCTTACTTATTCGTGGGATATAATTTAAAAACTATTTAAAACTGACCCCATTCCTAGTTTTTCGTTTGGTTTGC